TGAAGATGATGATGAGTCTGTTGAATCTACGAATGTTTTTGGGTATACAGAGAATAATTATATGAAGTCTGCTAGAACTGGTAGTTCTTGTGATGGCTTTCAGGAGGATAAGATTGATAATAAGATAAAAAGTGAGAATTATCAAGAAAATGCTACATATGGTCATTAGAATGGAAAGATTATGTAGGGTGTTCTTTGCGTAGTGCTTTAAGATTGTATAAGTCTGGTATAAATTCTATTGACGATGAGGAGGAGGAAAAAATGTATTGATTTGATTTATTTATTTGTATGATTAATATATATGGGTAATTATTTTTGAATTTTATATATATTTTGGTCTGGATTTAAAAATAAATATCTATATATATTTATTTACATTATATCATAAATAAAATTATGCTTATTTTTATGAATTTTGTATGTAAAATGTCATTTGTATTAATATGTTCATTAAGAGATAGTAATTTTATATTGGTTAATTATTATTTATGCATATGTTGTAATAGTTGCGCTGTATTGATTGAGTATGAAGTATTTTTGAGTAAATTTTGCTTTTGGTTTGACTGTTTTTTATATGCTATTTATAATTTGAAGTGTTTATACTTTTATTTTTAATTTGTTTATACATTATCGATTGATTTATTTATACTTACATTTATGTTTAGACTTTAAGCTTAAAGCTATTTTTGCAGTATATGGAGATTTTCGTAATAAATACTTGATTGTTTGGTTGTACTATGTGTTGTAATATAAGCGTGAGTATTACTGTGTGCAAAAATTAATTTATTATTTTATATAGTTTTGATACTGTTTTCTATTTGTTGTAGTTATGGCTATTCAGGTTGTGTTTTGGGTTTTGTTATTTGATATACTCAAAAAAATTGATAATTTTGGTTAAATTTTAAATTAAATTGATTTCATTATGATTTGATTAGTTATTTTTTATTATTATTATATGGTATTATTAAGTTTTATCTTGTATCATGGTAGTTTATGTGTCTTTTCATTGGTTGGATGTAGGTATACATGGGTGCCTAAATTATTTTTGAAAAATCGTATTTTTGGCAAATATTTTGGCATTGCTAAATTTTTTATATGAAGCCTTCGAAATAACTATATTATATGATGTATTTTGATGAAAAGAGTTCAAAAAATTTCGGCAATAATTTCGGCAAATATGAAAATTAATTTCGGCACTATATAAGACTAATTTCGGCTGCCTAAATGCCGTAATTACCTTTTTATTAAGATGGGCAATTTAGGCACCCATGTATAGATGTAGGTATTTTTAGTAGTGGTATAATTATTACTGGATTAATTACAAATTATGCTATTATATGTTAGAGGTATAGTAATCTAGTTTGGCATTGTATTTTATTATTAAGGTAAAGGTTATTTAGAGTATTAATAAAATAAAATGATAATTTTGTTTTTGTTATTATTTATTTTGTGAAGATAATGAAAGGGAAATTTTTTTTTTTAACTATCGATTACTTTATCGAAGGCTTGATTGATATCGTTGTAATAGGGATTTTTCATTTTGTTTACTAATGTGGTATGGAATAGGTGTATAGATTTTGTAATTGTAGTTATAGTTACTACGAAAAATGATGTCACATTTTAAATAAGCTTTTTGTAACTTTATAGTTTAGTGTAGTATTTAAGTAACAGTATATAGTTTATTTAAGTTTTATAATATGTTTATAAATAGAGATAGTTGCTTAGGTTGTAGTTTTTAAGTTTTTGTTTAGTTTTAGTTTTGAGTCAGAATAAGGAATGTTTTAAAGGATATTTGTGTATTGGGTATATTCGATAAGAATTTACTTGTATTGTTTATATTTCTTTGTATTTTGTATTTTGTGTCTGATAATAAATGGTTTTTTTATTTTGATGCTTATGTTCTGAGTTGATTTGGCTGGATAGTTGTAAAGTTTTTTTTTGTCATAGCACTGTATATAGATCATTATTGGGTTTATTAGTATATTTGAATTTACATAGTAGTATGATTAATAGAATATCACGATAATAGTGACATTTATTACTGGATTTGTGTATATTGGAGTTTACAGATTTTATCACTGTAATGTTCTGTTCACTTGTCTAGTTTTTTGTTGTGTTTTTATTGTAGAACAGGTTTGATTTTTGGTGTTAGTATACTTGGGTTTTTCTTATTAAGAAGCAAAAATTTTTTTATGTTTTTATTAAAATTTTGAAAGTTCAAATAATATGTACTAAGTATTTAGTTTAATGTATTTTGCATATTGATATGATAAATTATTCG